AGCTGTATCTTATATCCCCTTCCACAAAGGAAGCACAGTGCCTGGTAGGCCTGAAATGTGGAAGCAACACATTTCACACTTAAGGATACTGCACCAGCTGATATACTGAGTAATACAAAAGGCTGCCAGCTGTGAGGGGAGTCTGGAGAGGGAAAGAGTTCTGCAGCATGTCCAAGCTTAGGTGCAAGCATCCCTGCCACTGGGGCCATATGACCTGGTGTACCCTACAGTGTTGGTATTGTCAATGGCAGGAAGATGCGTGAATTTTACGGTGAGCCCCAGTGGGAGAATCACCATGCAGGTCCCAGGGATTCCAGGCAAACACCATTCCAACCGCAGTGAAGAACTATATGCCTTTGGAAAACAGCTCCTGGAGGGTCACTGTGCCCTGGGAGAATCAGAATACTTGACCATGGGATACCACGTGACCACACATCCAGAACTGCTCATATGTGCTGAGTTCACTTGGACACATTATTAAGAGTAAAGTGTATACCGTCCAAATTCTTGGAATGAAGTCCTAATCCCTAGTATGTCAGAGTGTGACTATATTTGGAAAATAAGATTTTTAAAGAGGTAAGTTAAAATGAGATCTTTAAAGTAGGCCCTAATCTGACTGGTGTCCTCATAAAAAGAGGAAATTCACACACAGACATGTGTGCCCAGAAGGAAGACCATGTGAGGACAGAGGGAGAAGCTGGCAATCTGTAAGCCAAGAGAGAGGGCTCAGAAGAAATAAACCCTGCTGATACCTTAATCCTGACTTTAGACTTTTAGCCTCCAGAACTGTGAGAAAATAAATTTCTGTTGTTGAAGGAACCCAGTCTGTGATATTTTATTATGGCAGCCCAAGCAAAGTAATGTGCCCACCCCCTCAGGTGAGCCCAGCAGCAGGCCATTATGAGATGAAATACCACATCTTGGATCAAGCCTGGGCAGAATCAGAGGGCACAGCTAAATTGCAAGGGCAATAGGCCAGAATCCCAAGTCACCACCTTAGTTATACCATTGTCCCCCTCTCAGCTCATACCGGTGACCATACAGAGAGTCCCCTACAAATAACTGAAAGGGGAGGGAAAAGCTCATTTTAGTTTATAGATGGGTTGGCTTGTTATGTGAGTGCCACCAAGACTGGATGGTGGCTGCATTAAAGCCAGGCAGCAGTGGCCTTAAAAAGAACGTGGAAAGGGAAAATCTTTCAGAGGACAGAGCTTTGAGCAGTGTATCCAATCATGCACTATGTGTAGAAGTGACCCACGGGAGAATATATATTAAGTCATGGGCAGTGGCAAATGGCCTGGTTAGCTACTTTGGGGCTTGGGAGAAAACAGACTAGAGGAATACTGACAAGTCAGGGTTGGAGGCACGTGGATGGGCACATGGCGGAGGATGGGGAGAAGATCGGTGTATCCCATGTTAACGCCCACTAGAAAGCAACCACTATGCAAGAGTACCAAACCATCCAGTAGTCAAAATGACTTGGTCAGTTAACTTTAGCCAGCCTTCATCAGCCACCCCAGAACTACCATGATGGGCACCTGAATGGAACAGGTATAACTGTAGAGATGAAACCCACTCTTGGGACCCACAGCATAGATTTTCACTTACCAGGGCCAATCTAGCTAGTGCTACCTGTCAATGTCCAACCTGCTGGCAATAGAGACAAATATTGAGCCCCCAATACAGCACTATTCTTCAAGGAAATCTACCAATTACCTGGTGGCAAGTGGATTCCACTGAGCCCTTTCCATCCTAAAAGGGCCAGTAGTTGAGTCTCGAAATAGACAATTTGTTCACACACAGAGCCTTAGCCAGCACCACTATCCTGCCCAATTTTGCTTCCTTTCTCTTTTATCTTTATAGCCATTACTTTGTCTCCACAGCTGCTTCCTGTAAGACCCAAGAGACACACTTGCCTTCCCTCTCTTTCCCTCCAGACAGGGGGAATTATCTGGAGAAACTGAAGAGAAGAGGTATGGACTTGGGACCTAGAGACATTGAAGACAAGTAGTATGGACTTGGGGACTCCTAGACACTATGGAGGCTGGAATTGAGTGTATTTAACAAGCGTAATGCAGGGTTATGAAGTCTCCACGTTAAAATGTGCATTGTTAATAGAGGGGCACCCAGCTTCCTTTCCCTTTCTCAACCCAATATTCTATCAGTTACACTTTTTCAAGCCATCTTAAAGCCTTTAGATCAAAGAGGGATTAAAAACACATACTTGAGTATTTTTAAATTTTTCTACAGCAAAATAAAAGCATTTATTACTAAAAAAAGCCACGTTCTACGTTAAATACATTAAGATATTGACAATTTTATAAATAAAATCATTTTAAACAGTAAATACATGATAAAACTATTTCTATGACACAGGTTACATGTAGGTCAACAAATTATTTTGAAAATATAAAAACTTGATATAATCTTCTTTTAAAAAGCATTCAACTTAATTTTATAAAATTATCAAAAGTTAAAAAGTGCTAGATATGCTTCTATTTTGTCCCATTTTTAAAGCAATTATACCATATCAGACCTTAAAAAAAAGAAGAATTAGGGCATAAAACTCATCCTATATTGCCTAAAAATGAAAACTTCAGAGACTTTCTAGGCATTGGGAAAGGCTGGGAGGCTGACTGAGTTCAAAGCCAGCGAAGGTGCCATCTGCCCAGTGCCACTGCCAGTCCTTGTTCTCAGAACCAGGGGGCTTCTCCTTCCTGGTCCACTCCTGGGGAGAGTCTTTCTATGCCTACTGTTTCCTAATTTCCACGAGAAAGGGTTTCTGACAGAATTTTGATATTTAAATCCTGTGCCAATACTGAATGTATTCCAAAGATTGAGGCATTTTGGATTTGAATTTTATACAAAAGTCATGAATTTAATTCCATATGAAAAGAGGATACTTCATTTGGTCACTTGATTTCGAATCACTTGTCGAGGTAGGATAATTTTCTTCTTTCACTGAAAACTGTCCTGACTAGGTAAATGGAGGTTGTACTGGAAAGGGTTCTAATGCCTTTTCTGCATTCTTCCAGTTGTGAAAATTCTCTCTGTACCATTCAACTGATAGGAAAAAACAAAGACAAAAATAAAAAATGAAAAACTATGCATCAATTAATCCACATCTACTGAGTTCCTGCTAGGTAAAAAAAGTCTAGCCCATTAGCTAATCAGCAGATAAAGGCTGCCTAATGATGTAAACAATTTGATTTTGAACTTAACAACGAAGTTAATCAGCAGAATTTCATCACCTGAAAGTCTTAAGAATTAACAATCGATCATTTTTTTCTTTTTTACTTCAAAAGTCCTTCAATACTAAACTTATTGGTGTAAGTATTTAGGACATTCTGATTTTAAGGAATTCAGGGTAGGGGGAATAAGTCATTTGCACTGGTTTTAAAGTTATTTTATAGAAAAAAGTATAATGCAGTATTTGTTAATGTAAATAAGGTAATACTGCATCAGAGGCAGTGAGATGATGTGAGCTTCCTTCAATTAATGTGAAATTATTTTATGTAGCCATATATGGTATTAGTAAAAGCTTTTTTAGTTAAAAGAAACCAAATAGTTTTAAACTATTTTTTATTTTCTTTTTAATATTCAAGTATTTTGTATTTCAAGCTCTGAGTCAAGACTTTTTTCTACATTTGGTAAGATCTTTTCTCATGAGTCCACTTCCAGAGCTTTAACATATATACACAGACTTTACATACACTTAATAGATTTTTCTGCACATACTGAATTTGTTTCCTATCTGTTTGTTTCAACACAAAAAGACTCAAGACATTCAAAGACTGCAACTATCAATATTTACTCAAATGCCACTGATCTTAAGATGGACCATTATTTTACATACCACTAAGAAAAAGGAAAGTTGTAATAATTATAAGATACTAGTGATTATCAACACACATATCTTTCAGCAGTGTGAAGAAAGTGAAAAATATACATCTCAGAATCAATAAAATAGGTATTTGATTAATGCTAATATGACACAGAAAGACTGATTAGAAGTTAGACTATGAAATTCAAGATGTTTAGGAAACATTGGACTATGCTAAAAAGATACTAAATGTAATAATTTGAAAAGTGCAAATGATTCATTGTCACATTTTGCTTAATTTGTACAGTGTTCTAAAAATAAATTACTTTTCCTTTAAATTTCTCTGAATCGTAGCCCAAATGATCAATTCAAAACATACTTGTTTTCTTTATTCCTTCTTTCCAAGGCACCTTAGGTCTCCATCCCAAGCCATGTATTTTTTCTGACTTCATTGGGTATCTCATGTCATTGGTAGGTCTTAGAAAGCAAAATAGATTTAAAATGATATTCTGAATATATATTTACAAACTTAAATACTGAGAGATATAATGTATGTCCATGCATCTTTATCATAATTCAAGATTTTTCTTTAAAAAAATTCTCAATAGGTGTTTTGCAAAAAATTTATAAAATAAAGTATATACTTAAAAATATCATCCATAATCCCAGATGCCTAACCCTCTCTGTGGCTTATCCTTTCCTTATTTCAGCCACATTTGTGTAAGTGAGTGTTGTGTCTGGCACACAGAAAAAATGGAATAAATGTTTAATGAATGAACAAACAAATATACATAAACTTTTAGGACCCTTATATGCCAGGCCCTGGGTCAGATACTTTATATACATTATAATTAAACCCTAAAATACTTTATAAGCAAGATATTATTATTCCTATTCACACTGGAGGAAACTTCAGAGTTGGAAAGGGTCAATAAACTTTCAAGTCACATAGCTAGTACTAGTGCTACACTTAATCTCTATGACATTTATAATCAAGAAAAAAATATTTCACCAGAAAACTCAAAAGAGATAAACTAGTTTACAGTTGGCTATATATTTTAAAATTTTATGAGTACCTAAGATTTCACAACCTTTCCCCAATGTTTTATTACTCACCTATCATTAACATAATCAACCCAATTTTCCATTTCAGACTCTGAATTGGTCTCTTTGATCTGTCAAAATGGAGAAGGCTTTTGAGTAAAATTATAAAATGAGATCAGAGAATAACAATGGTATTTAATAGCTGATTAGAAAGACAAGAAAAACAACCACCTCAAAGCAGAGGAGACAGCTAAAATGAACATCATTTTAATAACACTTTCTATACTTTATAACCTAAATTCCATCTGAAGCTCAGAAAGAATACACATTGTATAAACTATGGTAGAAAATAAATTTTCTTAGATTTTGGTTATTACTCAGTCCCTGTTACTACTAAATCCTAAGATTTATAACTCATGTTTCCTAATATATATGTATACTCATAACTATAATTATTTTATATATCATTGTTTCTTCATTCTAGGACATACAATTTTATATTTCTAAAACTGAGGTATGTCTTACAATTAGGGCATGTACATTTAATGGCTTATTTTTTCCTGAAAAGCTGTTACTAAATGACTTATACGACTTAAATTAAGACATATATGGTACATGTAATCATTCATTTTCTACTTATTTCTGTTAAATTGAGTAAACTGTAAACTGTTGATTCTGACTAAATCAGTGATAGGAAATTTTGAAAATACCATCCTTTTACAATGCATACATACCAGCTGTATTAGTTCTTTGGCAAGCTGGACAACTGACATTTCAAAATTGGTTCCAATGTTATAAATTTCACCTGGTTTCCCCTTTTTGAGGACAGTGAGAAATGCTTCTACTACATCAGTAGCATAAAGGAAATTTCTTGTTTGAAGCCCTGATCCGTGAATGCAGCTAAACAGATTAAATAAAACAGAATTAAAGTATAAAAAAAGTAAGGTGCCAATACTGAATGTATTCCAAAGATTGAGGC